CTCCTTCCGCCGCGCCCTAAAGACATGGCTTTTCCAACAAGCGGGTCTGGCCTAGGGAATTTTAGCGGGGTTTTTTAGGGGATTTTTAAGGACAATTTTAATGATCGGCCTGTTTAAATATTTCTTTTTAATTCGGCTTTTAATTATTGTATTTGTATTGTAGTTTTTATGAGGCTGTTAGCCGCCCTGAGTCCTATGAGGAGAAGGGCGGGGTATAAATTAAATTAATAAATAAATAAATAAATATACAGCAGGGGTCCCCAACCTTTTTGGTTCTGTGGATTGGTGGCAGCTATGGCGGGGGGGAATGGTCTCATGCTTGTAACCTAAATCCCAAGTATGCGCAAATGTAGCTTCACACGCTTGCCTGCTGCTTTGGCGGCCCAGTTTCCAATAGGACTCGGCCCGGGGGAGTTGGTGACACTTGATATAGAATTCACAGAAACTCAAAACAGTCATTAGCTTGATCTTATCACAGAATAGTTGACACTGAAAAGAAGTGCAGATGGGGTTCTCTGACATCTTCCTGTCTGGTTTAAGAACACCCTGTTGTCAACTCTCAAAACAAAATTAGCTGAGGCCATTTTCTCTTTGTTTTTCGGTTGCCACAGAATTGGGAGGGGGGATGAGTGTTTTATCTTAGACATAATAATAAATTATTCTGTGGGAACCAAGGTCATTGCTAACTATATTTTGGCCTGGTGTTAGAAAGCCTGGGCAAGTAGTTAATTGGGCAATGTGATCTATGACTCACTGTGGGGGTGGGAAGTTTAAGTTTTCAACTTTGTAACCTTTGGGGGGGGTGTTTCAGTTTTGGGTTCACCTTTAAACATGCCGTTATTGTGTAGCCAAATAAATGTTCTCTAAGGAAATTCTTTTTTGCCTTGGAGTTCATCTTTTGGAACCAAGACATCTGTATTGCTAGGCATTTAGCCTCAGAATAACATAGGTTGCATTTTAATTCCCATTTGTTGTTAAAAAAAATTATCCCTGGACAGGAGAAACAGGGTATTCTTAATAGTATCCTTGGGAGTAGAGATGTAAAAACATCCAGGTTCTATATCAAAGCTGTTTATGATTCAGGGAGAACATGTACCTAAGGGAGTTAATTTGAGATAAATGGAAAAAGTTGTAACAGTTAAGTTTATTGTGGCTGACCTGTATCAACAGACGGAAGACAGGAAAGTAATAAGAGGCTGAACTTTGATATTGTAGAAGATTCTGAGAATATAGTGCAGGGGTGTCAAACTGCCGGCCCGTGGGCCGGTTTCATCATACCGGAGCCGCGCCCGTCCCATTGCTGGCAATGGCGAAAAAGCTCCGATACGTTGCGTGACGTCGTGTGACGTCACGAGTTTGACATGTCTGATATAGTGGATAGCTAAGAAAACAAACCGATGAGTCATCGAACAAATCAATCCAGAGTTTTCACTTTAGCTGCAGATTACTTCAGACACATGCAAGAGCCAGCTCTTCTGCTGGGTAACGTGGAAGGATAGAAGAGCATGACCAGGACTCACTTACAGTGGCAATGAGTGCACCATTGGAAAATTCGAAGGACCAGATCATTTTGGAGAATATCTAGGTCAGGGCTTTTCAACCAGTGGTACGGGTACCACCTGTGGTACATTGGCACCTGGCAGGTGGTACGTGACCATCCTGGAAAAGTAGTGGGGGAGGGGAATGAGCTAAACCGGTGGCGGTGCGCACAAGCCTGAGCGAGAGATGGCTGGAGCTGCAGGGCTGTCAGGGCTCAGCGGAAGCGCCAGGATCAGCGCCAGACTCCAGCTGAAGCTCGGCGCTGATCCTGGCGCTTCTGCTGAGCCCAGAAGAAGCGCCGATCAGCTGGAATGTTGCAGCATCTCCAGGGTCTTGTGATTTACATTCAGATGCTTGGCAACTGATTCATATTTATGATGGTCACAGTGTCCCAGAGTCATGTGAAGTGACCAAAATCTGCTGCAACCACCCAGCAGACGGGGGAAATAAAAACCAAACACCCCCCAACCCGCCCCCACTGCCAATCCTCAACAGAAATGCTCACAACAATGAAAACCTCGGACAGGAGGAAGAGCGCGGCCGGGCGGGCAGGCAGGTGTCTTGCTCGGCTGTGGCTTGGGGGGGCACTTTTTTCAGTGCCATTGTAACTTTAAACAGTTACTAAGCGAACTGTTGTAAGTCGAGGACTACCTGTACTTTACCACTTTTTTCCTTTTCTTTTTTGGTCATCAAGTTTTTGACACCTTGCTAGGCGACTGGTGGTACCCAGATATTACCATATCCTAAAAGTGGTACAATGGGTGAAAAGGTTGAAAAGCCCTGATCTAGGTGGTTGCTAAGAGTAAACAACTTGATGCTCATAATCAATACATGAGAGCCAGTTTGGTGCAGTGGTTAAAACTCCAGGCAAGAAACCAGGAGGCTTTGAGTCCTAATTCTGCCTTGGTCACAAAGCCGGGTGGGTCACTTTGGGCCAGTCAGTTTGGGCCCTAGAGAGGAGGGGGGCAAAGACAAGCAGCTTATGAAAATTTTGTCAAGAAAACTTCATGAGTTAACACTGAATTAAGGGTGTGAACACACACAAACTTATATCTGCCTTGAAATTAATATGAACATGAATACATGTACAAAAACATATCACTTATATGTATATTGTGAGCTAACATCACATATATTGATGGGACGGATAGCACAAAGTGGATTATCACAAAATGCCAATTCAGTATGTGGTAGCTATGTAAAATTCCATGCCAGCGATCATTAGAGGAATTGAAAATAAAAATGCCAACATTGTAATACCCTATACCAGGGGTAGGCAACCTTGGCTCGTTCATGACTCATGGACTTCAACTCCCAGAATTCCTGAACCAGCCATGCTGAGGGGAAAGGGAGAGGTTTCCAAGCTGAGCTATGCTGGCTCAGGAATTCTGGGAGTTGAAGTCCACGAGTCATAAAAGAGCCAAGGTTGCCTATACAAATCTGTGGAATGTTCACAGCTGGTTTGTATACAGTATTAATTACCATGCTTGAAAAAGGTGATAGAAAGCTGAAAGGAGTGTAAAAGAGAGCAGCTAAAATAACCATGGGTCTCCAGTACAAAAAAGTTAGGGGGGCTCTTTAGCTTGGAAAAAGGGAGATGGGGCATGACTGACGTGTATAAAATCATGCATGTCATGGAGATAGTAGAGAAGGAAAGCATTTCTCAAAATACTAGCAGTAAAAGCCAGCCAACGAAGTAGTGAAGAGATTTTGTTTTTTAAAAAAGAAGCTATTCTTCATGCAGCGCATAACTGACCTGTGGAATATATTATGATGTAATGACCACAACTTGGATAGCTTTAAAAAAGTATAGGGAGGGAGAACAAATCCATCAAGCTCTTATTGGTCTCAACTAATGGTACCTTCCAGTTGGGGGCAGCATGTCTCTGAATACCAATTGCAAGGAAATTACTGTTCTTTTTCTTCATCTTTTTCTTCTGCTTGTGGAATTTGTTGTTCATGTGCAAAGCCACATGCTAGCTAGACGGATACATCAGGTCTGTTCACAGGTTAGCGAAGAATAGATTTCAGGCTTGCAGCATCAAGCTGTTGGAGCCATAATGGTAGCTCAGGGAAAAAAGCTGGGTCTCTTAGAAGAGAGATAATATGGAGCAATTTTCCTCTCCTTCTTTGTTACAATTGTCAAGAAGGCAACAGCACAGAGTGCAACAATTGCATACGTTTATTGAATCAAACCTTGAAGGTAATTGCCCATTTACTAAATGTCTCAATTCCAGTACAACTACATATTACTCATCATCTAAGTAAAGTGGTTATCTAAAATAATCAGTTACCAAAACTTCTCTAGCGAATCCTTGATTCTAGAAAGCACGCTACAGTTTTTAACATTTCTCTCACACATATACACGCAGTCAACTAACATATATACATAATGCAGGGCTCCTCTCACTCTCCCATTTTAGTGTGTTGTACTCTGATCAGCTTATTTTCATCAATCTTGTCATCGTTACAGCTAAAATCATGTCAGGCAGTGGTCTAGCGTGGGCATTCTTGATTGTGGAAACTCACAACCTTAACCCTAATCCTAACCCTGACTCTTGGTGCTTTTATTAATCTGTAATACTTTGAAAGTCTCATAGCATATTGTTATTTTAGTCCACTCGAGTGTGCTTTTCTCTAATTTCTCAGTCTGTGAAATTAGATGGAGTGTATATACTTCCTTAAACTGGGTATTCATCATAATATTCCTTAACGCTCAATATCCATCATGATTATTGAAAAATATTATTTTCTGGG